ATTGTGATATTTGTAGCACACAGACACACACAGATATGTTCTTGGTCCCATGAGGTAACTCTGTGTGTGTGTGTGTGTGTGTGTGTGTGTGTGAGAGAGAGAGAGAGAGAGAGAGAGAGAGAGAGAGAGAGAACTAGTGAGACAGAAAGTAGCAGGTTTTCAGCTCAAAAGGAGGTGAAAGGACTACAAAAGCAGCTATTCACAGATTATAAATTCTTCTGATGTAAATTCTTCTCTTGTAGTATAAATCTGACAGAAAAGTGCAGCTCCTGACCAAAAAAAAAGGGGGGGGGGTTTCGCTGTGCACAGCCACATCAACCTCCTAGATACTCACTCCCCATCAATCAGCCTTGCGTGCACAGCACATAAACTTTCAGATAATGTGAACAATGACTTGAACTGACATTAAATCCAAGTTTAAAAGACATTTGGCTGTTCCTAACGCAGAATAAGCTACTCATGAAATCATCCACGCATCCTCCTGAATTTACACACACACACACACATACACACACACAAACAAACAAACATGAACACATGAAGCTGCTTCATGGGATTCAGAACATTGGTCTTTCTAGTCCAGTACTATATTTTGACTGATAAGGATAAGTAGGCAGAAGTCTTTGCCAAAGATCTTAACCAGAACTCCTTTCAATGGATATGTCCAGTTAAGAATTGAACCTGCCACATTCCGCATGAAAAAAATACTACAATGTCCAGTCCCTGCAGGAATCTAGCTGCAGGTATTAGAACCAGTCGGGGGATGGGGTGGGGGAGAAGAAGCTCATTTTGCCCGAGCCTCAAGCTCAAAGAACATCTCATATTTAAACACTTGGCTTCTTCTTTTTTTAAGCATTTACTAAGTTTTGCAACTTGTTTTTATGCACATCAGACAAAAATGTAGTACAGTCTCACAGCTTAGAGCTACAGATTTAAGCAAATGAGAGATTTGATTTGGTAAAATATTTAGTTTTTGATAATCAATAGCTAGCTTGTCTTGCTCTTGTGCCTTTGACAGAATTTTGATATGCAGAAATCCGCTGTGAAGCTTTGTAGGACAAGTAACAAACATTATCACATGCTAGTTTCCTTAAGAAAAAAACTTATGGTAGAGGGGCTGGACAAAACATGGCAATACTACTGGTATGCAACCCTACATCTGTGCTGATGTCCTCAACAGCTTTGATAAAATATATTAGAGGTAAAATCTGTCTTGGACACATTAGACACACAGGATGCACCTTTTCTTTTTCTTTTTTTATAAAGTATTAGATCTCTGACTGTGTTCCAAAGGGAACTGAAAAATGAGTAAAGCATCAGGAATGCTTCTCCAAACTTACTATCTGAAAGTGTTTGCAACAGAAAACCTCCATGTTAAATATTCTGAACACAATGCACTCCAGGGATCCTGTGTCAAATGCAGTTATCATCTTCAGAAAGTAAGGGAACAGAGTAATCTGCGCCATCATTATTGCTGTTCAGGAGGAGCAGAAATGTCCAAAATTTTAAAGGATCCTCAACAGAGGAGACAACGAGCAATCATAATCTATTAGAATCCCTAAGACACTGATAGGCATTCAAATCAAACTGAGTTCATACATCTAGTTCAAAAAGTTACTTTTGTTAGAGGAAATGGTTGTTGCTGCGGCGGCTGCTAATCATATCCATTTTCAACGTATGTGTTTCCACTTACAGCTTTAGTAACTTTATTTTTTACAATATTCTTGTATTAGAATCTGGTAGGAGTGTGATATGAAGCAGAAAGTCACCAAGCTGAATACTGCCTCTGCCATGAACTCACTTTAGCAAAGCTGCTCTTTCCTAGTCTCAGCTGCCCATCTGAAATATGGAGATAATAATATGGACCAGCTATTTATTTTAAGGAGCATGGCTTGGAATCTGAGATCTGTGAAAGGAAGGAAATTCAGAGATATGAATTTTATTCCCCTGTAGGGTCCCCAAAAGCCGCTCTGCAGAATTGGGGACCCTTCTAATGTGAATTGTGAAGACTGCTCGTAGAGGCACTAATTGCCCCAAATTAATACATTTGCCTTGTATGAGTGAAGCTTTGGTCCTCCAAACTGCCTCTTCCCAAACATTGAGCCATGAAATGCAGCCTCTTAAAACAGCAGTAATTTTATATGGATGGCACCTAATTAAATAGGATTAAATCCACCTATCTGCAGTATAAAATCATTTAATAAGAAAGTCCTTCATATAAGGGATTATGAGTACTGAGAAACAAAAACAATTTCATTCCTAATGTACATCTTAAAATGAAGAATTAAGCAATAATTTTTAAACCACTTTTTAAGAGTAGCCCTACTGATACTGATAGGGTTAGTCCACAATAGTCTGAGGACTACCAAATAGCCCACAACCATACAGTCTAATTCTATGAAGTAAAGCTAGCTGAGCTCTAAGTTATTTACTTCTAGGTAAGTGTGCAAGGATTGCAACTTTAGTTTTGTAAATTTGATCTAAAAGAATTGTATTCTGAATATGAGGGATGGCACTCAACATTTGGATGAGTTTCAGTTAACTAGGGCTTCAAAAAAACTGGGGGGGGGCTTAAATAGTGCTTTACTTTGCTTACATTGGACATTTTTATATAAATTACTGGCATGTGAAGTAAGAAAGATAAATTTATTGTGCAAACATAAGGGTTTGACATTCCAGTGAAGAAGGCAGAACACTTCTTCATTTGCAAGAAGTTCTTTATCATGCCTTCTTCTATCTTCTATCTTCATTTTTAAAATTCCTTTATATAGCTGAAAAGCATCTAAGCTAAAATCACCTTGATCTTGTATGAATATCAGAAGTTTTAGCACATCCTTCAGAACACATGTGAGTAAATGGTATGAATGAAATCAATTTGAGGACATAACTGACAGTTTCATGACCCAGCAACATTTTGAACCCACGTGACCTACAGAACACAAACAGCACTATGCACAAAATTTCATCTACACTGTTCTAATCTTAAAACAGATAGTAAAACAAGATTCCTCCCAATCAACCACACACAAAAACTGGATTCTTCTGAACATCCAGAATATGATCCACAATCAGTAAGGTTGTAAGTAGCATGTGTTCAGAGGCCTAATTGTGGACAGGCACAATTAGGACTGCATGGATGAACAACATGACCCATATAATCATATAATCAATAATCATCCAGAACTCCCAGATTCCAGTAGATCCCCAATCTAGGAGGGGCAATATTGCCATGGACAGACCAATAAAACCACACAAGATTCCAAATTCTTGGCAACCTCACCACCAGCCTCACCTTATATTAAAACACAGTTTGGTGCAAACTTGTAAGCAAGCAAACTTATAACCACTAAGATACAAAGTACTGGTTTAGCAGTATAGTTCAACATTAAATGTGATGCACTCAAAATTACTTCACTGACAGCACTTGTAGTCCTTTAAATGGTTTTGTCTTTGAAACACAATTTCCATTCTAACCTATCAGGGCTATAGTTTTTTCTTGAGAGCTGCAGAGGAAAATTCTCTTTGAGGAAACAAAATTTGTCACCAAGTGGCTCGATGCACACTCTAAATGTTCCACATTAATTTTCTGTCATGCTAGGAATCACTTAGCCACGATTTCTAGCAAGTTCCCACACACCAAATTCTTGACACAGAGATTATGCCATGAAGTGGTTGCACTAACATTTTTAAATGTTAAGTAGAGTAATTAATGCTGCCATCCTAAACACACTTACTTGGAAGTAAAATTCATTAAAATCAATGTGACTAATTATAAGTAGAAATGTTCCATGAATAGTAAAACTGAGGAGAAGCAGCTGTGGCTACTAGATTTTGCTACACCTGAACCAGGGGAAGATAAAGATGAACGGCAAGAAACTCCTGCCTTACCCATGCTGGATTCTTCTATGATAGACCAGGCAGAAGCTTCTAGCAAAATATGTTGCCTTAATGGAATAGGGTCAAATATATTTTTGGACCAAGTGAGGCTAGAGGACAGGCATAGCAAATACCGGCAGGATATCTGCTAAATTTTGCTGCCATCAACTAGGTTGATGAAGGTACAGGGACATACTGTAAACTCTAACTGCAGTTTCCTGGCAGATTGTGCAACTCTTGGCAAAAGGTATATAATCTATGCACTATGTCCTGGAATACAACTCCCAGCATCCCTGACCATTGGGCCCTGCTGAGTGAGGATGATGGGAGTTGTTTTCCCAAACATGTGGAGAGAACAAATTTTGAAAGACAGAGGTTTCAAAATTTGGCAAGAAGGCAGAAAAGCTTTTAGCAGAATTAATAAGTGACATATTCCAGTATGCAGGCAACCAGATTGAAAGTAGCCAAGTCTGTACTCTACTGGTCAGACTGAGGAGTCAAGGCAGAAGCAAAAGGTTTCATTGGACCATCTGCAACTCTTGTGTCACTTGAGGTGATGACTACACACAATACTACCATGTTCCTGTCGTAAGAGAGGGCCAGCAGTTCGTCACTCTGGCAAGTTATTATGACAGTGCAGGGAGTAAGGTGTCCGAGTTCCACTACCAGCACACTTGATTTAACATATCTGACTATGTAAGCCAGGAGTAGCCAACATGGTGCCCTCCAGATGTTGTAGACTACAACTCCCATCACCACTGAGCAGTTACTATACTGGCTGGGGCTTATGGGAGTTATAATCCATAACATCTGGAGGATATCATGTTGGCTACTCTTGGTATAAGTGATAAATTGATTCTTACTACTACTGTGTTGGCTGGGTTTCAGACCCACAATGAATTTACGTACTCATTGTACATAAGAGATTGACTTAAACCAAGTCTGTCCTTTGGTCCATCTAGCTCCTTATTGTCTATGCTGGCAGTGCACCATGATTACAAACAGAAGTCCCAGTCCTACCAAGGGTGCCAAGGACTGAACCCAGGATCTTCTGTAGTGCATGTGCTTTGTCACCAAGGCACTGCCCTGAACCTTGTTGCGTTATAAAGCATTTTTTTTTTTTTAGAAAATGAGAAGTGTCTGAAAAGCTGCTTCTGCAATATGGTGGGGGAAGGGGGTGTCAGCTCGATGTTTGCTTTTTTAAAAATCCACTCAGCTAGCACAAACCCTTACTCTGAGCCTTGGAACATATTTTGATTCTAGATTATGTCTAGTCTCTTTTCAGTCTGTGCTAGCTGTACCCAATACTGTTAAATCAAAGCATTGGCGATACAAGCGTCTTGATGATGTTTCTGCCTGCCATTTCTGCCGCAACATAATGTTTTTGCCTCTTCTCATTTTACGAGGCAGTGTAGAGGCTGTGGAGACTGGAAACCATCTCCAGCGTATCTGAAGTACTGATTGTTTTTCAGCACCGATGTAAAGGTTTGCACAATCATCATCAAGAAACAAATAAAGTTGTCAAAGTCTATTGTCTGGGGGTTCTCGAAATCTGTCGCGAGACAACTAAAAGTTTTCCATTCTAATTACCTTCAGAAAGGAGAGCCAATTCCTGCTACATAATGAGGTTTTCACTCTAGCAATGCTAAGAACCATTTTTTTATTCAAAGGTCTATTTGATGTTTTATTGATTTACTCTATATTCAAGAGGTTTTAAAAGGTTTTCACTCCGCGGGGTTTTAAATCCAACCTATCAAGGAATATATTTTGGACAAAATTGCAAATAAATTAAATGTGTCACCTCGTAATTCAAAATATAGCAGTTCCCCATAAATATACTAGTCATGAGAGTGTGTGTGTGTGTGTGTGTGTGTGTGTGTGTGTACTATTCCTATATCCATTTGTCCTCTCTGTGTTTCTCTTTTCAGTGATTTCTTTTACCCCCTTTTGAAAGTATGCAAATGCATTCACAAGACGTGTATGAGGAAGTACACCACCATTACCCAAGGCAACTTGAGCAATGATACCTTCCCCCATCCAAATACACATAATTACATATGACTAGCTGGAGCAGAATGTAAATAGAGTTGCCATTTATCTACACTATGTTTGTGGGAGGCATATTCGAATGTACATCTCCATCCATATTTCCAGAACAACCACCATTGGGACAAGTAGGGCAGAAGGCATTGAGACCAACAGTATGCAGAGTCAGAGCCAATGAATGACAAAGCCTACTAATTTTTGTCCAGTTTTGTTCCCATTCTCTTTCCTGCCAAGTTTTACAAAAGCAGCCCTGAGACTTAAGGAGGAGGGAGCTGACAAGTAGTGCCACACCATGGACTGGCTGCAAATAAGAAGGTGGGGACGGGCTGAGGGCAGACAGACTAGAGAAGCAGTTCCCCCATTTGCCCTAATAATTACATGACTACTGCATGAAACTATGTGTGACTAGAGCCGGGCTGGAGTAAATGGCTTCCCACACAGCACCGCCAGGCAGGCAATGAAACAAACAGTTTATGTTTATGGTACTGTACCTCACAGAAGGTGGCACATCAAATGAGAGGTATTCCGTATGTTCCATGGGCCCACACATGACCAAGGAGTCAAAGAAGGAACTGCTGGAGTGATGGCTTTCTTTTTAGGTCTGTCACTTCACAGGCAAACTTCTATCATATCCCAGTTTACTCTCAATAGTAAGTACAGTCAACCTGGAGGCCTCTAGTCTTGGGGTACCTGGCTTTTGTGCACTTTGCCTCAGCAGGAATAGCCCAGAATTTCCTGTGGAGGAAGTGGGCTGGGTAGAGTTGGAATGCAGATATTCCATATTTGGAAAGAGTCTCTGGCAGAGGAGTAGGGCCAAATCTCCCCTCTTTGTGTGGAGGACCCCTCACTTGGAGGCCTAGCAGTCTCAAACTATCCTCTGGACTTCTTCCCCCCTCTGTGAGGTATTTTATATCTTCCAGGTCTCCCCAACCTTCATTCTGGCTGAGGCTCTACAGCTGTACTCCTTCCCACCCATCAGGCAGATTTATGAGAAGGCCCCACCCTGCTCCTTTTAACACTGGTGGAACCTTCAGGCAATGTCCAAACATAGTCTCCTCAGGAGTCGTTATCTGATTGGTCCTTGGTGGTTGAGACAGGGGCCTCCTGAAAGGGCAAAGTGCTGGCAAAGGAACAGAAAGCCTCTGTGGCCCATCAAATATGCAAGAGCTTTGTTAGTCTTCGGTGATGCTGTAACATAGTCATAAATAAAGCAATGCTTTGGCGCTAAGTATGTAATCCCTGATGGACGGGAGCCAGTGATGAAAAATAAATAATATTTAAAAACAGCTTTGTTCCAGCTAATGCTTTGACTGCCAATGATAATAAAGATAGTTTCAATAGGCTTTTCAGACTTCTGCTATCCCAAAGTTTTAGTGCAGAAAATTGTCACAGCACTTTAGTTGATTTGATTGACATCCTATGCCCTTTTAGCATGTGGGGGGTTTTTTTGCAGGGGGGAGGGGTATTGGGTTGTTGTTTTTATTTTGATTATATGTTTTGTGGTTTTATGTTTTGATTTTGTTCTGTGAACCATGTGAACTGCCCTGAGACCTCTGAGTATAGGGCGGGATATAAACAACAACAACAGTATAACTGATATTGCACAAGCTAGAAATATATGATACTCATAGCCCATTCAGAATTTGGTTAGAAAAAGAATTTCAGCTTATTTCAAGAGATCAGAATTTTGAGTACTATACACAAATGTTATTATTCCAAGAAAAAGGTATACAGGATTTTTTTTAAAACAAAACAAAACATTTTTAATGAATTGCACATGGTTTTCAATATGCATTACCCACATGACTCATCACTTCCCAATACTTCTTGATGCTGAAAGTACATTTTTGATACAGTTTGATGAGCCAGAGATATGCATTTTAATGAAACCAGTGGGACTTACCCTGCAACGAAATGTCACAGTGAATTGCAGCCTTGAAGGAGCCTTGTACGCCTGTTGAGGCCCCACAAAAAGGGGGAAAATAAGTGGAGAAAGAGGAAAATGCTATCTTTTTATTTCCCCTTCCCTGAGATTTCCTCTTCTAGGTTAGAGAGCAGAACATAAACATTTTGTAGCTTGGGGGTGAGTGTAGTGAATCTGGAAAATGGGGAAAATGTGTCTTTCTGAAACATCCTTGAACAGTGAAGTATGCATTCCTTCCACCTCCAAGATACTCACTGTAAGTAAAATGTTAGTGGCATGAGCAAGTCAATTTATTTTCTACCTTTACCATCCACTTTCCTCTCTAGCCCTCGCAGCTGACACTCTCTGTTTCAAAAACTGTCAGGCAAAGCCTTTTCAGAAAACCCTGGGAAATTCCACACAGATTCTACTTTTGCCATCCCTTTCGTCTACCCCTTCTTTCTGTCAATGAATCATTCTTTGTTTGTCCTGATGCATCTTTTTAACTGAGATCAGGTAATTTTTTTTAAAAAAAACAAGTAACCTACTTCAAACCAGAGATAACCAAATACATATTGGTGCCTTTGAAAGAATAAATAATTGGTGCTTCCCATTGGTGAAAACGTAACAGTAAATCAAGTAGCAGGCAACTTTTCTGCCCTTTCCTTGTAGCTCAATATCGGCTCCTTGAGGCAGGCTCCTTCTTCCCGACGTATTGGTAGAACAAGCTCTGCCCCCACCTGGTTACTTCACAATTTCCTAGTTCTGGTTTTCAAAGAAGAAACTGCTTTCCTCCCACACTGCAGAAGTGAATATAAAATACTGAGATATTGTGGTAGCAAAATAACAGGTGTCTTAGATAGTGGGTGGCTTTCAAACACTCTCAATCCCCCCTCCCAAATTATTCACATACCCACATACCTGAATTTACACAGTACATATTTCCTTATCTAGTGATTTATATGGAAGTTGATGGAAAGCAATTGCAGTTTCCATGCTCAGACTTCCTGCACTACATTAATATTAATATTAAGCCAGCATTCTCAGTGTTCTGAACACATCAGAAATAAGAATGCATAATAGTATTCTATTAGACAAGATACCTGAAAAGTATTGTGCCCTCTGTATTCCATGGTTTGGATCCCACTCCCTCCCCCACTCCGGTTTTGTACAGTTTCTCATTTCTATACGTAGCCAGAATCAGCTCCTTCCAGTGTTTCTGAGCCGTTTGAGAATGTACATTTGTCAATTATGCCTATGTTATGATCCCAATCTCATTGTGAGATCTTAAAATATAAGTCAGAAGAGATACAGTATTTTAAACTGGCAGGTGTAGAAACTTTTGAAATAAATATGCATAATTTACTTCTATGTCAACTACACCACGAATCAGAATTTAATGAAATAAAATATTCCCGTGCCAAAGGGTAATTTTGAATCATTTGGTCACTAGCATATGAATTGTTAAAGACAATTTTAAATTAAATAAATTATCATTTGATACCTGAGGATCTATTGAGACGAGAAACCTTGTCAGTGTGTTGTAACTTTAATTACTAAAGTCTTTAATTTAGAGGTTGAACAAAAGTGTAATTTCCTGAGGCTTAACCAGAATATTTTTACACATACTTTTGGTCTGCGTTTACTTCTTTCTCCAGAGCAATGTTCTACATGCACACACCTTCCCTGTGTAGTCATTGTACTTGACCATGCCAAGTGGCAGCCCAGGGCATACTAAGGACCTGCCAGAGCCCAAGCAAAGGCCCACTGATTCTACAGCTAAGTTGGCTCTGCTGGGTGCTGGCAGGGACATGAAGATGGCTAGATCCACACAACACGCCAAACCCAACAGCAGCAGCATCTGAATTACACCAGCCCTGGTCCCAACAAGCATGCCTAAGAAGCAGGTCCACGATTATTCAGACAGTGGCATTAGTGAATATAGGAACGTGGGCCAAGTGCTTTGCCATCCAACACACAAACTCACACACACACACACACAGAGAGAGAGAGAGAGAGAGAGAGAGAGAGGCTGTTACATGGAAGTAAGAAAGATTTTTTTTAATATAACAATTTTTATTAATTTTTCAGTTTATACATCTCAAAACAAACATTTTACATAATACCACGTAGCAATTGACTTCCCTCCTGCCCCTTTCATGGTTCATTTTACTTACCTATCATTCCTGCCTATTTTACTATAGCCAATCTAATTGTTTCTCCATTTTACATCCTTCAAATATTTACCATAATGTTGAATTTATGTAAATGCTACCAGCATTTTTAATTGTACACAATTATTTTTTAAATATTCAGCAAAAATTTTCCACTCCTCTTTGAATGAATGTTCTTCTTGCTCTCTTATTCTATAAGTTCTATAAGTTAAACGTACTTCTTCCGTAAATTTTATTATATTAAGTTGCCAATCTTCCTTACTAGGGATCTTGCTCACTTTCCATCTCTGGGCTAGCAAAATTCAAGCCACTGTGGTTGCATACATAAATGGTTACCCCCCCCCCCCCCGATAACTGGGAGCTTCAGACTGAAGTATTCCTTTTTTTATTCAGGTTTTTTGGGGAGTGTTGTTGTTGTTTTTAACTCTTTGTAAATCATTTCCCAATAGCCTTTAACTTTTTTACATGTCCACCACATGTGAAAAAAATGGTTCCATTTCTCTACATTTCGAACACAGATCTGATCCAACTTTGTACATCTTGACCAACCTTCTCAGGGTTAAATACCATCTAGGCATCATTTTCATATAATTCTCTTTCAGAGTATAACGTGGTAAATGTCAAATCATTCTTCCAGAGTTTCTCCCAGAGGTTTAGGTCTATGTTATGCCCTATATCCACAAAATAAGAAAGAAATCTTTATCCAGGCAAGGAGTAACAATTCAGGAGTTCAGGCACAGGGCTAAATTGATGACGATGTCCCAACAAATTTCTCCATATTCTGTACATGTGTAGAGCGAATTTTGCAAAATGTTTTTTTTCCCCAACAACAAAGGATGTATTTGGACATAAGCTGCACTATGGTTTAAGCATTACAAGAATGAGCCAAGGCTCTTTTGTCCCCTGTTCTCTAGTGCAGCTGTAAGGAGATTGGAAACTTGCATTTTAGATTGAATACAGTTTGCCATGCCATCTAAATCTAGGCAAAATGTGATTTGCCTTAACTATAGCTGGTGGAAGCAAGACACCTTCAAAGTTCAAACTATAGTGTACCATAGTTTGTTTTTACTAGCCACAGTTAAGATGAGCCAAAGTTTAAGATCTGGAAGAAACAGAAAACTAGTTATTCATAAACATAAGTGGACAGTTTAAAATTCCTCACTGCAGCAGAACTAGAAGAGATAAAGGACCATACAAAGCCTGAGGGGAGCAAGGAGCCTAGACTCATTTTTTGTAATGCTAAACTATATTTTAATATTACACCCAAGACAGCCCACTGTTGGTTCACATGCTTATAATATCAGAAATCTGCACATAATCAGTATTTCTTCCAGTATTTATTTTACAGTTACTGAAATTATGGAAATACTCAATAATTTTAATGATCTGTTGCTTTTTTCCTGATATATTTTTCAGATAATAGATATCAAAATATCCAGAAAATCAAATTAACTGTCAGGCACATTTTAGTGTTTCATAAATTATTAATTTCAGAATGCTAATTAAAGAATGTGTTTTTTTTTCAAATATGCATTACACCAACTCAGAAGGTACACATTATGACAATGAGGAACTTATTGTTGGGAGCAAGGGAGAGGAGAATGAGTAAATCCCATTGCACAGGAACAACGGCACTTCAATCAGAAATGAACAACTTTAACTGGTAACTCTTAAAATGTCTGCCTAGCATTGCATTGCCAGAAAACTGGATGTAACCTGTAAGTATATGCTGTTGAGACTCATCACTTGAAAGTTAGTAGGGAGGAAAAACAGGGAGAAACCGTTGTCTTTCAAGGTGAACTGTAAGTCTTCACAAAGCCCCTAGAAGACCCTGAATGAGCTAGGTTTTTAAGTAATAGTCTAGCTTTTTAAGCACATGAGGTGTTCAAATGAATCCACTCAGTTTGACTTCAGTAGGAGGTCTCATTTGCTTAAAATAGGTACATAATCAGAGACGAATACTTCAATTTTCTGTTCCCTAATGTCCCTGGAATACTGCAAATAGCTTTAATTGTATCCAAGACTTCCAATGAGCCTCACAAAGCACCTCAGGGCATATTCTTTTTCCTCGTGCCATTAAATAGGATTGCAATATCTTCATTTGATAAAACAGCTCAGGCAGCTCCAAAATATTAATTGTTCCTGTGGTTCTGGGAGCCCTCACAAAGCAGGACTCACACACACACAGGCTCCACTCCTAAATAATGAAAAACCTGTATTGCAGAAGTAGTGATTTGAAACCCGGGGGTTGATGATGATGATGATGATGATGATGATGATGAAAGTATCTGACAGTGGGCTACTGTAACCTGATCTGTTGAAGTTTCAAAAGACCTTTAAAAATAGGGCTCCTTGAAGCTGAAAAGTAAACTTATGGCCTTTCTTCCACATCTCTCTGGAGTCACAAAAGTGATCTGGGAGGTATTGTAGGTTTTGAAGATCAATTGATGAGTGAAACAAACACCAACTTCTCTGCTTCACACCTACATGCTTTAAGCTCTGAATCAGGCTAACATTGAACAGTTGCTTCTTCTGATAGCTGATCTCCAGCTGGATTTGATTTCTGTCCGTGGTTTAACTTCTGTGCTTTATAACCTGTGTGGTAGTACTTTGTAATTAACCATAACAGCAATAGGAGAAGCTGGTGTTTTTTCAATAGACATTCTGTTTGAGTTCCCCCATCTCACCACCAATGGTTTTCTCTAGCTTCTTCTTCCTATTGCATCATAACCTTGTTAGGGGAAGAAATTAGTTCACTTTGCATTTTGAGATGTACTTCCAGATATGGACTTCACAAACCAATATATGAACCACAGCACGCCTTTCATGCTAAATTCCATTGTGATGTAGTTCTCTGATCAAAGAATGCACACAAAAGTGCACACAGCAGTGAAAGGCTCATACAGAAAGTGTTGAAAAATGCATTCTACTAGGGGAAAACTGATTGCAATAAGCCACGTTAGGTAAAATTGCAGTGAAAATGTATATGTTGGGAGAAATGTGCATGGAAATGTGTATGAACTTCCACAGAGACTTAAAAAATAATTCTGACTTAAGCCACTCTCTTGAAAGAAAAGGCAGGATATTAAATAAATAAATAAGAATGATATGCAGGAATAAGGTTAACTGAACTTAAGAATTGGAAAATGAGAAACCAAAACTGAAAGCTATTATTATTTATTATTCTGAGAGAAAAAGGGAGGTGTTCATGGTGAGTTCCAGCACCTCTTTTTCTAGAAAAATAGCACTGTTTCTAACTCAGCAATCCCACCCACTCACCCACTCATACACACAGTGTAAACTGACCAGAAATTGCACATGTTCATCTAGCTCAACGGAAGACAGAAATGCTAGTAATCTTCTCTTTTAAGAAGAACATTTCAATCTCCTATAGGGACACATTCATACCCTACACCAATTTCTCTGCACAGAACATGTAGTTTCATTAAAACACTAAATAAGCTTGTTACCAGTGCTGCAGAAATCTCAATGTCATTTTGACATACAAGCTGGCAAGTCAGGAATTACGATATATTGCACAACAAAATGCTGGGTTGGCTGAAACTGTGTCTGGGGGTGAGGGTAGGTAAATAACACTTCCTCCTCCCCCAGCCACTTGAAGAATTCTACCGCAGTGCTGTATAAAGGGCTAACTGCCCAGCCCAAAGCTAAGCACATTGTACCTATGTACTACGGTGGGTGTGTGGTTCTTGAAAGTAGTGAAGAAAAAAAGGGGTCCCTATTCTATTCTTGTCTCTGAACCAGGCTTCCTCAACCTCGTCCCTCCAGATGTTTTTGGCCTACAACTCCCATGATCCCTATCTAGCAGGACCAGTAGTCAGGGATGATGGGAATTGTAGTCTCAAAACATCTGGAAGTCCGAGTTTGAGGAAGCCTGCTCTGAACTCTTCCTGCAGTTGTATCTATAACTTCGAAAACAGACATGCAGGCCAATCCTGTGCATGTCTATTAAGATATACATTCTGTGCAGTAACGAGGCTGATAGGTAAAGGTACCCCTGCCCGTACGGGCCAGTCGTGTCTGACTCTAGGGTTGCGTGCTCATCTCGCTCTAGAGGCCATGAGCCGGCGCCGTCCGAAGACACTTCCGGGTCACGTGCTGTGACAATCAAAATGGAAAACTTTTTGGTTTCATCTCTACAGACCAGAGTTGCAAACTACTGTTTGATCCCAGTTTGCAATCCTGGTTTTTAGTACTTGATCAAACCATAGTTTTCCAGTTCAACAACAAACAGAGATTTGATAAACTAGTAAGCATGCTATTAAGACCATAAGAAGAGCAAAGGGGAAGAAGGAAAGAACATGCACACAGCTCATTCCTTATTGCGTGTTGAGGTCCCCAGGGCCACCCCAATAACTCACACATCACACAGAATTTTTTGTTTAAGATTTTTGGCATAATTTTGGCCACAACTTTATTGAAATACAAATTTGTGAGTGGTTGCTTAGGCATTGGTTGCGACTATCTGCCCCCACCATGGGGGACAGACTGACATTCCGCACGATGCGAAAGTCAGAATAGGGGAATACACTTGGGGGTTACGCGGAGCAGGGAACCTGCCCTCACCCCAAATGCAACCAGGAGCTCATTGCTATGGCCCGAGCCCCCTTGACAGAGTGGACAAGCAATAGTTAGCCCCCAATTCCTTTAACAGAATCCCTTGCAGCAGCAGCATTAGAGGGGCAGGCACTCAACCTCCCAAGGGCAGGCACTCAACCACTTCCCCTCAACCAACCAAACCATAAACCAATGCCTAACCGCCACCGAGCACTCAAGCTCGCCGCCAACCACTCACAACTGCAACCCTTCCTTCAACCCCAAAGCAACCGCATCCAGCCAGGTGTCGTTCCCCATAGGGGAAAGATGCACCCCATCTGCCCAAAAGAGGGCAACAGCCTTGAAGGAAATAGCAGGGTGCAATATCACAGAACCAACTAAAGCAAGGACCTATTTTACTTTATTTTATTGGTTATTTTATTTTATTTTCCATGCTTTCTGGCCTGCTCGGTGGTATTTTGTCTAGGCATTGGTTCCGACTATCTGCACCTGACCGCAGCAGGGCAGCACTGACGACTGGGCCCCACCATATCGTCAGTACATGCAAACATCGTGGGGGAGCAAAGACACAAGGTAATTTGTAGAAAAATACAACCGTCTCCCTTTGCTGTGATCAATCCGATGCATGGTCGAAAAGAGGAAGCCCTAGCCTCGTGCAAGGAGTTTTAGCATTTCTGGCTGTCAATCAACAAATGGCAACATTAACTTCTTCCCAACAACAAGGGAAGCCCCAATCGCATCAATGGCCAAGAAACAATTAGCCTGCCCCCACCTTTGGAGTGTCCTGGTGGCCCCCACTGCAACACGTGCTCTCCATGAAGGAGAACACGCTTTCTCCAAACAATAGTTTGGAAGATTAGAGAACATTCCAGACACATTATGTTAACTCATATGAGTACATATCCAAGGATGAAGTGCAGTGATACCAGATATAATAATAATAATAATTTACAAATATAAACCAGAAGTAATAAAAGTATCAGTCCTGGTAGTCTTGGCTTTAGGTTCATCATGGATCAGTCAGCAGAGTCAGCCAAATCCCATTCTGTTCACTTTTACATTAAGTGTTACCAAATTTTATGAAAGTTGCTGCAATGTGCATTTCAGTATTACTGCAGCCTTGTCAAGTTTTGAATTTTTTAAAAGTTGGGAACTATGGGAATTGGATAATATGACCAAGTAAAAGAATATTATGAAAACAGCTTAATGGGAGAGACAGACCACACAGAAGACAAACTTAGCAAGAAAACAACAGAAAATGCCCATAGGACCCAGATATAATAAAGTTAAGTGACAATATTCTCTGCATCAGGAAATAAAGCAGGAAGGCTGAACACTGAAAATGCTAGAGGCAAACAAATAATTCTAATAAGTGAGTAATAAAGAACAAGAAATGAGTCAAGAAGTAGAGGAGCAAGACAAATTAAAGATCCCAAATGCTTCCCAAGAGGTGAACAAAATCAAAGCTTCAATTTTGTTAAGCATAAACACATACAAAAGAACTAACCAGCAATGTAATCTAGCCAGTTTAACAAATAGCAAACCCTCGGGAATGTTTTTGTATTGGTTTGTTTGTTTTTTTCATTTAAAGGCATTCAAAGAAATCCTTGCTAAAAACTGGGAAGTCAAGCAGATAGCCAACTGGAGGTTGACTACATCTCTGGTAACTTAAAAAACAACAACAACACAAACAACACAAAAAACCTAGCATTGTCCTCTGCAAGTTTTAAATTTATTGCCTGCGGTTCTTGGTATTAGGACTCAAGTGTATGGAAAATAATTTTATATGAACAAAACTAGCTTCCTTATCTGCCCTCAGAATCTGCAATTTATGTCAGAGCCAAGTCGCATGTAATGCATCCAGTAATCATTGTGCATTGTGTCTGAACAGGGAGGCTCCATTCCTAAGTATTTTGACTTATGTGCCTTAGGGATGCATCTTCTCCATGAATGAATCCTATTCTTATTTGAAAGAGCTATTAAGTGCTATCCTTCCCCGCCACAAATAATCCCATAAATTTATTATGCATTGCATAAAGCAGTGGTTCCCAATCAGCTATGTGGAACCCCTGTTTTTCAAAAGCCAAACCATGGGAATGTTAGTATCTTTGTGGTAGTTTGTGATATGTGAATGGTACCACCACACCCTCCCACATGTTCCAGTGCAAAACCAGGGTGCACGTCTTCTGGGTCACGTTCCTGCATGAGTCACACTCATTTTGGGTGGACCATGCTCTCACCCATTTGTATTATTGATTGACACAAAGTTTGAGTGCTTGAGTGCTCACTCTCCACTCCATTCATACTAAAGGTATGTGATACACACACTTTTCCTGGATCATTTGTCCTCTGTGAAGGTGTTGGCAGGAAACAGTCAACATTTAAAAACCTTTGGTGGGAAGGGTTGCATTACCTTAACATGAGTCAGCTGTGGGTTTTTCTTAATTATTATTTTTCTTTCTTCTATGGGGAAAAAGTCTTGCTGTTTCATGTGGGTGTTCTGAGCAGCCAAGTAGCATTCCTGAGGACAGAATGCCCCTTGAAATGATGCACCATACCCAAGGGCATTCTTGAAACAGCAGCAAGACTTTTTCCTTATCAAAAGGAGACAATAATAAAGGGAAAACCCATGATTACCTCTCCAAGGGAGAAGGTATCCACCACCACCACCACCACCCCTGCCTTGAAAGGTCTAAGAATTCCCACCATCACCCTGAAGATGAATCAATCTTCAGGAATGCCTTCACCCCTACAAAATGCTGAGAAAAGCTGACAATAATTTTAGAAGCCTCTGTCACTATAATGATGTTTTGAATTATGATTCATGGCCCGTAAGTGGATTGTTTGAAACCTGATGTGAATTGCAGCAACAGCACTACTTCCATTTTTGTTTGTTAAAGTTTTTAAAAAACAAAAACAAAGAAAAGATAAGAGAATGTCCCAGTCCATACAAAATGACATCTGTTTAATAAACCATAGTTTGTTAAGCCACAAATGATTGGGTACAGTGCCTGAGCACTTGAGCATCCTTGTGGGCACATTTCCCTCTTTAGATGAGACCAAGAAGCATGTGGGGCAGAGTTCATATGTCTTCTGTTGCTACTTTCCTGGGAATATTGGAAGTGGCTCACTCTCAGCAAATAAACTGCTCAAGTCTGAGAGATTAGCTACATGCCTTGAAAATTTCTACCTGGATATTATCACTGAAATACACTTCAAACACGCACACACAAAAACAGAAGGTCAAAGCCAACAGTGATTTACTGAAGGATAGATAGTAGTGCTTTCCAGAATTCCCAGTGCAGTTTGAAAGCACACATTCTTCTTCAGGGGAAATGTTACATGTTTTATGCTTGTCGTAGGGCAGAAGCTGCTTCTACATTTTTCAAGTTTTTATTACCTAAAAAGAGAATGTCCGAATACCAAAAGCATACAAGAAAGAAGAAAAAGTATATTGTGTCAAATCTTCCCCCTTACCCAGAACTTAGCTGACTTTGGAATAGGAAAAGTGCTGATAAAATATTTTTACAAGCTTAAAGTCCGGAAATGGAAATATGGTTTTGATTTTCCCAAGGAGGAATGGCGAACACTTTTCAAAGCATGGGAAAAGAGATAATGCTGCAACCAATTATGTTAATATAATATTGAATCTGCACTCAGAACGCAACCGTCGTTGTTTGTTACAATGTAAAGTGTCTGAACCCACATTATTCTGTACAGTTTTGCCATATTTGCTGTATTTGTCTACAACTAGAGAAGCTCCAGGTCCCAAAAGATCCCTAGGCAAAAATTAGGATTTAAAAACCATTGTTTTGCCCTTCTGCTTGCTTCTACACATCTAAACTATAGCACTATGTAGCCACTTTAGAGCAATTCAAATATAAATCTGGTCTCCTTTCTGTTGTTCAATAACAACGCCCCGTTAAGACTCAAAACATTTTTTGCTTATCAATGCTGTGCTTATTTGTCTTCTCCCTGACATTTTCTATCTAATTTTTAAAATGCAATCTTTTCACCTGTTTAATTCCTCTGAGTCTCCATGCTTTGCAGCACTCTGATTTGAAAACCAGGCAGAAGTTAATGAAAAGTATACGTTGTGTTTGCCAGTTCATCTGATTCTCATTAAAGTTCTGAATTCTTTTGGAATGTTACGCAGTTGCAGAGAGATATTGTTGTAATACTAGGCTCTTGGACAATGTCACAAAGTGGTGAACTGACATCATGCTTGAAGAGGTAACAAGCTCAACATCTCTAAGAGCAGGCATAGGCAAACTCCAGCCCTCCAGATGTTTTGAGACTACAACTCCCATCATCCCTGACCACTGGTCCTGTTAGCTAGGGATGATGGGAATTGTAGTTCCAAAACATCTGGAGGGCTGGAGTTTGTCTATGCCTGTCTAAGAGGCTTCTGTTGAACCACAGCCACATACTTACGGTTCTCCTTTACATAATTCACTGTTATCTTTTTGTAGGATCTCTATTCTTTACAGCACTTTACTGTTAGCTCTGGTTGTTGTTGTTTTTTGCTTATTGGCTAATAA